GCAATATAATTTCTATGGTACTGAACTGATATTAACTTTAGGTTAATTTTCAAATATTAAAATATATGACATAATGAAATTACATAACAATGTATTACCAAAGTGAAAATAATGTCGACAGAAATACCAGTAATTTCAGGTGGCTGTATTATGTATATCGTTACAATATAGGTAAAAGTAGTATAATTTTGAAATTTTTTTTTAATTGCTTCAAATTTCTCTATATATATATATATATATATATTTAAACAACTTACTTGTTTTTATTTAACTCAAATTTGAGTTTTGAGACAAATTCTAGATTCGAAAGGCAATTATATTTGTGTTATTGTATAAGGGTTCAAAACATTCTTTAAAATATATAATACATATATCTACATTTTATTTTATGATAACAAATTTCATGTTACAATTCCTGTATACAGCTGCATTTTTTGTCAAAGTGTGGATTTGTTTTTTATAAAACTAACATTCCTATTTTTCTAAAATGAAATGAGATTATTTTTTTTTTTTTTACATAAATCAGTTATAGGATTTAAAAAAAAATCCGAAATGAAATTGAATTGAGAATCAAATCAGTGAACACAACTACAAATACATAGCTTTAAATTTCATTTTTGGCATTTTTATTGTATTCACGATGCAGGGTGATATCATAATATATGACGTCAAAAGATTATATTTTTCTGATCTGAATTAATTTGAAGATTTTTTGTGTATACTTTTGCAACAAATTTTTATTCTAGATATATCGATTTGTATAAGTTGCCGCATTCTTTTCGGCTTTTTAAAGATTTTTTAGAAATTTTAGTGAATAAAAAATAAAATTTTTGCTTTTATAGAGTATTGGATTTGAAATTTTATTCGTACTCGAACACGTTGTAGTTTGTTTTTTCTGTTTCGAAAAAAAAACGCAAAAAAAAACTTAAAAGGATACTGGGACAAAAACAAGTATAAAGCAAAATTTTTAATTTTTTTTTATTTTATTTTTTTGCTTTTTTGGTTGTTCATATTAAATTTTGAATCACAATTTGATGGTAACGAAACTTTATTAAAATTCTTTACGTGGTAGTGAATCAATAGGAACATGATTTTATTGAAAAAATAAAATCTGATGCGCCTACTATCTACTTAATATATGCACTGAACAAAACTGCAAAAAAGCATAAAAAAAAGGAAAATAGCGTGTTAATTCAATGATTCATTGATGTTTTATTCTTTTGTATAAAAATTGTTTGTGGTTTTTTGGTATACTTTGCGAGAATATCGGAATTAAAATTTTTTTCAAAGGACATTTTTAAATCAATTTCATTTCCTGAATAAAGAAGAAATTTTCTTGTTCTCTTTTTGCTATTTTAAAAGCTACTTTTACTCTTATGCTCAAATTAAATTCTTTAATAATAACAAAGCTATTTAATAAGGTTTTGGACACTAGCTCTTTATTTAAATATACAGAGTGATTCTGAAAGGTATACAACAACATATTCCATTGGTTAGAATATCGAAAATAGGTAAAACATTTGTTCCGGACTGGGTGCCGAATCTCAAGGATTTCTGAGTTCCAGGGATTTTAACGAATTTTCACGAAATTTTTACTTTCCAGGTTTTTTTGATTATAGCTTCCGCTCTGAAAAAGATGGGGACTTCAAACAAACAGTTTCTGAAAGCCTTAAGCTCTTTAAGCCCTTTACTATGCCTCATATTTATCGATGGATGTTGGAAACAAAACTATATAAATTGCGCAGATTTCCATCAGAATGATCGTTCTTGCTTTATTATTCAAAACAAAGAAATTTTATTGTATAGGTTTTAAGTTAAAACTGTACAGGAATTTCAACATGTTTATTTAATTTTTAATGCCGGATATAATTTCCAATTTTCGAAATGTAAAATATTTTTCCAAAAAAAAAATCTAGAACAAATTCTGGAGGCGATCATAACAGATGTGGTATTTCATTGTTGAGGTATTTTACAACAAATAAGAAATAAATAAAATGTACAAAAAACCAAAATTATCAAAAATTAAAGATGAAAAAACGCTCTTAATTCAATCACATTTTTCTGCTAACATCCATTAACAAAATGTTTTTTATTATTACTTTATAAATATATACATACATACATAATCAAAATCAAGAATAAAAACTCTGATGAATATGACAGCATTTTTAAATTTATTAATCGAAATATTTTGAATATAATTGTAATAATAATTAAATAAATTACCAAAACAAATTTTCAATTAGATATGGTTGGTTCAGCCTTATTAAACAATAAATAAAAAGTAAAAATTAAAAAGAAATAGAAGCAAGTTTGTAATTTATAAAAAAAACATCAACATGAATTTGTACATTTAAGTTTCTCTGATTGAAGTCGACACAAGATTGAATTTGGGTCAATAAAAACTTAAAAATTGTGAAAAAAATACTCAAAACTTAGGTTTCAACATTTATAATTAATTTCTAGAATATAAAAAGTTTTGCTCTTGCAGCATAAATCTCCAAAAATAACATTCGATACATTTGAGGAGCTATTGAGGCTTTCTAACATTTTCTTAAATATTAAATATAAATTGTAGAGAAGAATTAGTTAAATATTTAGAGAAGATTAAAGTTTCATACGACTTTAAAAAAAATTGTAGTAAAAATTGTTGTGAATACTACTAAAGTATTGTGGATCATTTACAAATTACAATTTTTGTTAACTTCTTTTAAACTGTTCACTTTACCGTCACTTTGCAGCAGAATAATGCGTTGAGAAAAACTACAAAATCGCGTAATATCTATTCTTGCAGAATAATAAAGTCATAATATGAAAAGTTTTCAAGTTCATTATGGCACAAGAGAAGAAGTCGTTAATATTGGACTAAAATATATTAAAATATTTATTTATCTTTAACATAATAATTTAAATTTAAGTCGCGTGTTATAATAATCTGGAAATTATTCAATATTCCGACCAAAGAGTTATAATAAAATTACTTCTTAAATATCTTCAAGCTTTCATTAATAATTTTTTCAGTAATTAATTTTCATATTAATTAAAAAATATTTAATTAAAATATTCAGTAAGTATTATACATTTTATTTTTTATACTCAATAATTCTAAATATTTTTTATTTTTCAGTTAACTTCAGTCACAACTCATATTGCATGGTAACCTCATTACCTCTGTTATACCTAATACGTGAAACTAATTTATTTTACATAGAGCATTCAGTAATCATTTGAAAAGAATTCCAAAAGAAACAACATTAAGTATCAAAAAAAAAAAAAAGCGAAAAGAAGAAAAACAAATGAAAATATCAAATTACATATTTTTATTTCATTTGTCGGGGAGCCTTAGTCACACATTTTGACAGCTTAACTAATTGATTGATGATAATGGAACGTGCATATTTATAATTTTCAAAATAAAAAAAAAATTCTATTAAATTACGGTTGTATTGAAACCATCTGGAAATTCTCTTTCCTTCAATTCAATATTTCTTTCTCAATGTTTTAGTATTAAAGAATATAATTAAGTGGCATAAACAAATTTTTTGCTTCCAATTTTTTTTTCATGGAAAAAATTACCATTTTCATTTTGATATATACTGTTTCAGTCTAATTACTGTAATATAGCGTCATAATAATAATATTTTATCATTAGTTCCGATTTTTGTTCAACCAATTTAAAATTGAAATACTTGGAAGTCATAAGTAAATTTCAATTTGTTCTTAATAGGTATTACTTTTTCTGTTACAAATTAAAATTGTCGAAATTCATTTTTACTGTTCTAACTTTACCTACACATTAAATTATTAATATTTAGTTATTAGATTTCGGTCAAATTCGTTCAATTTCATTTTAAGTAATTTCAAATTTATAAACAAAAGTGCAAAAAGCCGTAATTACAAAAAAAAAAAATTAGAAAGAATTTATCTTTAATCTGTTCGAAAATATGTTTAAATTTGTGGTTAAAATCAAATATTTAAAGATCCAATTAAAAACAAAGAGCATCACATGGTTGTAAGAGTAGCATAACATCTGTACATCTTCCTTATGCAACATAGTCAGTATTTTGTATAAGTCCTAATTGAAACTTTATGCTAACGAGACAACTAACAAACAAAAGTAGAATTTTCAATCATTTAATTGTATACAATAATAAGAGAATTTAGTATAATTAATTGAATTGTGTTAATAAATTTCGAAGTAAATCTTGTTAAATAGTACATATATAATTTATGTAAGTGAGATTATAAGTCTTTCACTTCAAAACTTCATATGGGTATAGATTAACCGATAAAAAACTGAGAACACATTTGAGCATAGATTGATATAAGTATTTTTTTTCTTAACAACAATAACAAATATAATATTGATAAATTCCACCTTGTGTTAAGCAGAATTCTGAAGGAAAATCATATTGAATCAAAACCAAGTAAACTCGTTTTTCACTTTAACGAGTATTGGGTCCACTGTACATATTTCATTAGAAAAATTTGTAAAAAAAACACCTTAATATGCGTTATTGTTAAAATTTCATTAAAATAAGGAGGTGAATTGATGAGTTTTGTAAAATGGTAAAGTATAGGCGGCAAAATTCTTTATAATGAAATTTTGCGTATTTTTGCTTTTTCATTTCAACTTTTAATAGCATTATCATAACTGCAATTAAATTAAAACCGCTGTAATATTAAGTTTATACAGTCTTAGTTTACCATTAACCTCGCACTGTTTTATTATGTTTATATACTGTTTGAATCTACCTTGATTTGCACAATGTTTTTGGAACAAAATACCTATGTATTTGTATTTTTCACCATTGGTAATTGTACGCCATCTCTAAACGAAATTCCAAATTAAAGCCTAAGTAAAATATTACCGTATTTTGTTAAATTGTTTATTCAGTCATAATTAATATTAAAAATCTAATATTTATTTTCAACATTCTTTGCCATAAACTATAAGTACGTGCTTAAAATAATGCATCAAATAATAAGTAAATACATACCAAGACAATTATCAATATGCATCATACTTGCATAAATTATAGTAGACAACGCCAGCTGTTAAGAAGTGAAATATTCCAATATTGTGTACTGACCTATAAGAAGAAAAATATTAAAAAAAATAATAATTAAATGGTGTCACAACTAATATTGATGAATTACTTTACTACAAATGAAATTTTATTAAAGTTAATGGATAATAATAAATTTTATTTCTTTTTATTTTCAAATGTAATTTAATGTCTGCAAATAATAATAAGAATAATGTAAAATAAGTAAAGTGTAATAATAATAAAAATAACAATTTAGTTTAATGCTATTAAAATAGAGAGAAAATAATTTGTTTTCAGAACGAAATCTGTATTTAATTGGACTCAAAATTATATATTAGATATACTGTATAGCAAAAATATAAAATTATGTAAAGTTTTACATGTTAGTGCAGAACAATATTGTACGCTAAAGCCGTCGTCATATCAAGATTCTGTTACAAATTCATATTACAATTATAAAAAAAATAGGATAATTTAAAATATTTCAGAATTTGAATATTTTTTTATTGAAAATCTCTCATAAATAGAGACGCCCGGAGTGATTAATGTGGGCTCTGATATTTATGTTCATGTTGTTGTCACTGACCAGTTTATTCTGATCACCAGAATCCCTTTGGTATGCAGATCCGATGGTCGCGATAGGTGGTTTTGGTTGTTGTCAAAAATGTTTAGATACAATAAACACATTTAATAATTTTGCTAGCTTTAGCTCATATAATAACCGTACAACTTACCTGAGTTTAGTTTGTGAATCTTATTGGAGTTATCAATATGACCATAAGAGTGAATGGTTTAGAAGACCCTAGTCTGCAATTTCTTAATTGCACACAAAATTCTTAGATTTAATCAGACTTATATTTAGTAAGACAATTTGAAAAATGAAACAGAAATACTCAAAAATGTTAATAATAGCCATTTTTTAACTTCATAAGGGAAGTATAGTTAAATATTGGCTATGAAGAAATAAATATATAAAATATAGATACTTCGTTATATAAAATATAGGTACTTCGTTATTAATATCATTTGCTGCAATACATGTAAATATTAGAAAACAACCTATATTTGTAGGTATGTTAAGAAATTTATCATTATAAATTTACAAATAAATTTTAACACTAAATTTTTACACATTATCTGTCTATTTTGAAATTTTCTCACTATATAAATTTCTGATTGCTTAATTTACTGTTCAAATTTTAATAATTATGATTGACAACTTTAATTTTCTATAATGTTTATGCTCAATCCTCTTGCTTCAATAAATTGTGATATTTTTATTTAATTCTCGTAATACAATTTTTATCTATAATAAACACATGAGTGAAAAGTAATACTAATGCATAGCCAATTAAATATTATAAAGTGATTATACAATGACAACAGTGTAATATATATGTACATATGTACATGGTTCAATATCAATAATTATTACATAAAAAGGGGTAGCAACATTTTGAAAATATCTTAATTTTTACCTTATACATATAATATGAAAAATCACTTGATTCACATGCCACACAACAGTTCACATCTAAATGCCATTATGTAACTTTTAATGTCAATTTGAATTTATTTATTGTGGTTTTATAGAAATTCAAGAAAATTTTATTTATTGAACGAAACGAAGATAAATGATGTAAAAATATTTAAAATTTTATTTAAATGATTTCAATGTGTTCTATAATTTAAATTTATTCAATCTTATATTGAATAAATATATTGAAAGAATCTTATATTGAAAGAATTGATGTGAAATTTTCGGTAAATTTATTTTGTAAAGTTAAAATTTTTAGGGTAAAATAAATTTTATTTTATTATTTGACATGATATGGTTGTCATACTCTAAGTGAGTGTATAAAACGAGAAAAGGACGTACTATATGTAAGAAGACATTAACATGAAAAAATATAAAGTGTAATAAATATATCAAGAGATTTTAGGAGATATTAAAGAATGTTAACATTTTAATGATAAAGAAACTTTGTTCGCTCCGGCTTCCGCATATTGTTGGAGCGTATAGATACTTCTCCTACAACTGATCTGATAAACTCCATTGTTAGTTTTTTTGAAAATATAAGAATGTAAATTTGTATGGGTATAAGCATTTATTAAACCCTACAACTTCTTTCTCATTGTCTATATTCTATTAACTTTGAAATCCAGCAAAATACTTTTAAACTCCTTAACAAACTTTAAAAAAATTCACATAAAATTAAATAATGATTGAACACTGTCTATATTTAGAATGTTAGACGAACCATAGTTATTTTTAGATTTTTTTTTATATACTATTTCAGTATAATTTATAATATTATATCCTTGAGCTACATATTTATGTTATTATATATAATGTACTATAATATGTATGATATGAATCACTATCGTTAATTTTCATTAAAATATTATATAGACGCCATTATGTGTCTATATGTTTCCTTCTTTTACTTAAAGGATAAGCCCATAATAAAGAGATTTTCTTTTAAAAGATAAAAAGTGTTATAGCATGTAGTATTAAAAGCGGATATTGTTACAATTAAAAAAATGAAGTGATTTTGTAGAGAAAACAAATTAGAAAATCTAGAAATTAAATATGATATTAAAACAAAACGTATCTAGTGACTTATACAACTCATATATTCACATACTTTTTTAAAATCTTTTCTACAGATAAGAAAGAAGTACTTTAACGAAATTATGCTGTAAGTATGCGTACAATCAAACGCGTAAGAGATCACAACTTCATAAAAGAAAATTAAAAAAAAAAAATATGTGTGTACAGTGTACATAATTAAAATCATTTCTACTCATTAAACCTCGTAAACAGGAAAAAATCAATATTATTATGGTAGTTATAATTGAATAACCTTTGAATAATTTAAGGAAGTAGAAAGAATTTAAAAAAAAAAATATTAAAAACTTTTAAATTCAAGAGCTGTGAACATTTTAATAAATAAATAATTGTGTATATTTACATAATATTGCACTACGTGTATAAAAGAGGACATAAATTTTAATTTTTGTATTTCTAAGAGCAATAGAAAAAATTCTATTTAGCTCAAAGTATAAATTGATTTTAGTTTTTTTGCTTATATTTAATGTCGCTATAATTACAATTTTAGTCCTTTAATGTCCAGTCATCAATACATTAATAGCGATGTTCCGTACATTGAACCAACTAATTTTTGACATAAAAATATTACGTTATAAATTATATTCTCATTGTTAATTTGTAAGTTGTGTTATTTCTGAAGGTTTTTACAGCATTATTCCCCTAATAAATGCATAATATCAAACAAAATGTAGAAATCATGAAAATATTAAAAGAAGTAAAATTGCGAATCTTTGCTTTTAAAAGTAGATTACTTTCATTCTATTCAATTCACTTTAAAATTCAGATTTATTTCAGATTTATAAAAAGTATAAAAGTTACAAATCAATTAAATTTAAGCTAAATTTACTTGTAATGAAAATTCATCTTTATTCAGTAAATTTTCATACTTCTTTCTTTAGGGCTGGTAATTTAATTAATCAAAGCTCTTTAACGCGAATAAATATTTCTATGTTAAAATAATGTTTAAAATTTTAAATTTGTAACAACTTTGCGTTACGTAGATTATTTTCCCTAACGGTCCTTTGTAGATTATTTCCCGTTAGTCGTAATGTAGATTAAATAGTATTGCCTAATAAAAACAATGGAAAACGCCAAAAAAATTTAATTGTAACGTATACATTATAAATGACTTAATACTCAGTTTTTATTATATCAATATTTTAAAGAATAAGAAACACAATGAAATTCATAACAGTCTTGGTTCAAGCCGCTCGAATATTTAATAAAATTTTGTAATGCCTTTCGCTTTTAGTAAAATTGAAATCACTCTATAAACGTGTAGAAAATAAAAATATACACAATATGTAATAAAAATTCGAAAATATTTACTTTAGTTAGAAGGTTTGGTATTTCTTTCATTACAATCATTAAAAAAAAATTTAATTTAATACTAAATTTTTTATTGTCTCTTTAAATAACTAATCATAAAATTTTGTTCTTATTTCTCTTTGCAATCAAATATAATTTTCCAAGTCTTTCATTAAGAACTAATTTTTAATCTAAATAAAATGAATAAAAGAAAAAAGTTTAAATTAATAAAAAAAAAAAAAGGAAATCGTAATTTGTAGTCATAACGTAATATTGGAATTCATCTTGAATTTGTTCGTAAGTAAGTATAAAATAAAAGCTAGAATTCGAAATATTTTGCGAATTAATTTGTGAGAATTTAAATGCAGACAGCGCAAATATTTTGAGTAATTTCAAATAAGTTTTTTTTTTTTTTTGTCTCTCGTATTTTCTTTTTACAATTTTTGAGGTAATCACACAAAATCAACCTTAATTCGTGGAATTTTTTTAATTGGATTTGAAGAAAAAAACTCCAACTTTCATGTTTTATTTCTTTTATTTTTTACTGTATACCATAAGGTAAATTAATTAAAATATATACAGGAACGTTATAATGAAAGGAATTTAACCTTTTAACATTTAATTATTTTCAGTTTAGCTAAAATAAGAAAAGTTTGTCATAAAAATTCAATATAATTTCATTATAAAAGTAACATGCATGTATCGAAATATTTAGGTATACCCATATACTGACACACATTAAGTTGAAAATTAAATAAAAGTGTAAATTCTTTTGTTATGCAATTTTAAATTCTTTTTAAATATAATCCAATATAAAATAGAGAAATAAAATTGAGTACAAATTTCCCTTTATTATTAATCTGGTTTTTTCTAAATGCTCTTATATAAAAGTAAGAATGGTGTACTAGGTAGTAAAATGTTTAAAAATGGGTTATAAAAGCAAAGTAATGTGTGGTCACTCTGGAAATTGGGAATAAAATCGTCATTAGTACATATAAATCAACATAATGCAGATATTCTTAGAAAATATTGAAATTCTATTTCACATTTGTGTATGTTAATCATTATTTTAATTTTTACTTTAATTTAGAACAATAAATTTTGACATTTTGTTCTGTGTTTACTTTTCT